AAGCGGAACGAACACATGTTCCCATGTCTCGGCATGCTAGCAAGACAAGTGTTATCCGTTCCGGTATCAACCGTAGCAGTTGAACGAGAATTCAGTGCTAGCGGCAACATTCTAACCGACTTTCGAAGTTGTCTTAGCGCTGAATCTCTTGAAACACTGGTTTGCAACCAAGATTGGCTCTTGGCAAGACGTCGAGCTCAAGAGTCATCGTACCTACTCGAATCGGAGCATTACATGAATGCAACAACAGATGGAAGTCCGAGTTCTGAAGAATAAGTTACAATTTTTTTATGTTAATGTAGATATGTAATTAGTTTTTTTAGGTGAGCGATATATAAGCTCCTTCGAGGATTTCTTTACGGTTCTTTACCTCGTCGCTTTTTTTGAACCGTCAGGATATTAAATGTGGTTGTTCTTCAGTTAGTGTATTATTCATTTAAAATATTTAAATAACAACTACATTTTTAGATTTTTTATTTCATTCTTTCCTTAAATAATTGCAAATTTACAATTTTATACTTTAAAAATTTTAAAAAAAAGCAAAAAAAAAAAGGAGGGGGGCCGAAACCGGCCGGTTCGGTACCAGAACCGCCGGTCCGGGAACCGGAACCGGTACCGGCCGGCACGGTGACGGTTCCGGTGACATGGGGTGGCGGTACCGGAACCGGCGGTTCCGGAACCGGAACCGTACCGTGTCCACCCCTTTCAGAATCTCATCTACAATTGATATGACCAAATAGCTAGTCCAAAGAAATTGTTGGAAAACTTTTTTTGTCTTTCATTCACGGTGACTCGAACATAAAACCTTGAGAAGGAGAATTTAAGTTTTCAATGTAGTAACCAAATCAGTCACTTCAACTTGATAGTAACTGGTTCAATGTTATTTTCTAACAAAACTTTAAACTTTAGTTGAGAAATGAGAACAATGGTTGAAATTAAGTTTAAATACATGACGTTCCGTTGACTCAGACTTCGTTTGACACTACAAATTCACTTGAATTTTGAAACAAGTATAATGTTCTATTCACAAAATTGACAATTTCAGAAGAGCTAGAATGCAGGTAAGGGAGGACAATATAAACAATCAATTTTATTAACAGAATATCATAAGTGCCAATGTTATTCGTTAATACGTACTCCGTAGTATTCAAAGTGAGTGACAATAGAACGCGACCCGTTTTAATAATACTTGTACAAATTAATCTTATTTATACTACAATATTGCATTAAAAAGTACTAATATTAAAAAAAAAATTAGAGTTGGATAAGATTTTTTAAATATTGAGACTAAACCCTAAAGCTACACCTTCGACGCACTTCTTGAGCTCTCCGGCCTCGTGAAGCTGTTTGATCTCCGCCGCGCCGCCAATGTACCTCCCACCGATGAATACCTGCGGCAAGGTCAGTTTCGTCTTTCCACCCAGAACCCCCTGCAGCTCCTCCACGAGCCTGGCGTCCGCGGACAGATCTCGCTCGTCAATCGAGACGCGGTAGCTTCTCAGGATCGACATGACATCCCTGCAGTCGTCGAAGGTCCGGCGGACCACGCGGAGGCTGGTGGAGTATACCACGATCAGCCTCTCGGATCCGGGGAGGGAGATCGGCGGCTGCGGCTGAGAAGCGGGTGCCGGTTCGGGCGGAGGCGACAGGGCGCGGAGGGAGGCGCTGGCGATGCGAGCCCGGTGAAAGATGCAGTGCTCGGTGAAGTGGGGCGGGTGATTCAGGCGGGTCGGGTCGTCGGCGAATAGGGCGTGGATGTCTTTGAAGGAGAAATTGGAGGAGGAATTGGCAGGAAGCCTTATCTTTGGGTTGGTTCGAGTTAGCCACATTGATTCGATCCGGAAGGGAATCAAAGAAAACAATGGCGATAGCTTTTTTGGGATGCCAAGAGAAGAGAAATGGAGTTAAGGGGGAAAGGAGGAAAGGTGAGGGAGGGGCTTTTGTAATCTCTGCTTTAGGCCTCGGGCCAGGTGGGAGCATGGGGAGGAGTAAGAGGACTGATAGATTAAACTTTAATTGGGGAGAAACAAACCAAAACATAGTAGATGTTGGGAGTTATTGCCTTATTGGTGACAATTATACTGCAAGTATCAAGTGCAAACTACACTATTTACCATTAATTTGTGATTAAAGTCCAATTTACTTGGTTTAGTCATATCTAAGGAAACCCTCGTAGATGAAGCTCATCTTTTTTTAATTGGGGCAAGTGAAAGAGTATATCCTCCCACACCCTCTCTATCAAGAGGCGTGTACTGATGCGTGTATTAAATAGATGCATGTAATATCTACATATTAACCTGACATTTTTTTACTAAAAATTTTAAAAGATGTTAATTGTGTGTAATTCTAGCTCTTCAAACTTTTGCCTTAGCCTACAGTCAAGTAGAGGGACTCTCGTGTGACACATTATTGATAGCATCTCGATTGCTATGTGCGCTATCACAAAGGTTATTCTTATCACACTATTGTACTCCATACTACGTTTGTAGTTGCTGTTATTGTAAATCATCTCGCTATTTGTAATTTTCAAAGGATACTTTCTTTGTTTTACACAGATTTTCTTGTTTCACAATTTTAGAGAAAATTTTAGTTACTATATTTGCTTAATTTCATTACTCATAAGATTAAATAATATAGTGATTTCGTCTTCTCTTTTGGAGGCTTTTTTATAGTGCTCTTAAATACATAAGTTTTTATTTTACTTTATTTTTATATACATAAAATGAAAAATAAAATTAGTCAAGGATCATAATCTAAATCGAAAAATCTTTATGAGACAGAGGAAGTAGTATTTGTAAAATTTGTTGGGTTATATGCCTACGTCACCTCAAGTTCAAATTAAGTGTGGTCTAAAAAGCGATGATTAGTATTACAGAGAATAAACAATTGGTATACGAAGTATAAAAACTTAAATGTATATTTTATATTTCGTAATAAATCTAATTATATTAAACTAACATTATAAGTAATTTTTCCAATTTGTGGTCTTTAATTTTAGGATTGAAAGAGTAATTTTCTTTTATCCAAATTTACTCTCCAAAAATTTAAAACATACGGAGGAAAAATTACACAAAAGGAAATCGATCTGCTGGTTTTGAGCTGTGAATTTACCGATTCGCATCGTCGTCCAAGGAAGAAGAGAGATCTGATCGATCTGTGCTCTGATACAATAACTGGATCGGCATGGCGTCTCGATATTGGATGGTGTCTCTTTCCGTTCAGCAAGGCTCCTCCGCCACGTCTCTGTGGAGCCGCCTTCAGGACTCCATCTCCAAGCACTCCTTCGACACTCCCCTCTACAGAGTATTTCTCATTTCTCCTCCCATTACTCACACTGGTTGATGAGATTTCCGTATATGATCATCTGACTCATCTCTTCCGGTATTGCAGTTCAACATCCCGAACCTCCGCGTCGGCACTCTGGATTCGCTCCTCGCGCTCAGCGATGACCTTGTCAAGGTGAATTTCATTTGTTCTATCCCTAGCATCGTTTCAATTGACATTTCGTACTGGATTTCGTGTAATCGTGTATGAATGTGGGAGTGCTGAATGGTTATGAGCAATATGAAAACATGTTTGCAGTCCAACAGCTTCATTGAAGGGGTGTGCTCAAAGATACGGCGCCAGATCGAGGAGCTGGAGAGGGTTTCCGGGGTGGCCAGCAGTTCTCTCACAGTTGATGGGGTTCCTGTCGACTCCTACCTCACTAGGTGAATGAGATTTGATGTTATTCTTATTCCCCTTCTCTTACTTTCTGCGTCCTCCGTTTATGGTTTCTACCAATTCATTCATTTTTTGTGTTTGTAAACGCTGCAATTCCATTTTTTACCCAGGTTTGTTTGGGACGATGCTAAGTATCCCACAATGTCACCTCTTAAGGACACTGTAGATGGAATTCACACCCAAGTTGCAAAGATTGAGGATGATCTCAAGGTATTACTTTGTAATGATGATACTTTATCTTTGTATTTGCAACCCTTCGCCATTTGGATAAGATTTTACTAAATTAGAATCATAGTAGGAGAGTAGGAGATACTGGTAGTGACAATATCATCACAAATTCACATAGTTTCCAATTGGATGCACTATAACCTTGCAACTTTGTGGATTCTATGGACGTTCAAGTAATGCAGGCTTCATTGTGCAGTCTTTGTTGATTAATTAGATGCACCCTAATCAGTAGAGAATGCTGTGTTTCCCTATTGGGTTGAGTTTGCTGTATCTGAATCTTTCAGTGGAGTATATGTTACTTTTTCTTTATTTTGACCTAGAGCAATGTCAGAAATACATGTTTGCAATTGCTTAAGACTGCAAACCAAGAGCTCTCATTAAGCGTTTGAAACTTGAACTTGTTTCTTTTCTTCTATTCTTTCCAATGGAGTTCATATTGATAGTTCAGAGCTCAACATCTTCCTCAATTACTAGTTTTGAGACACTACATAGTGTTAATCAGAGCCCCCAATTTCTGCCGTATAATTATTTTTCTTCTTGAAATCAAGCCAAAATATAATTGTTGAAGTATAATGGCATAGCTTATTTTGAAGTCAGGTATCACATCTTGTATCATTGTGGTGGAACTAGACATCTATTAGAGGATACTATCTTGTGATTCATCTTTATTTCCAGATCAAATGAGTTCTAATTTTTTTCAGTGATTTGCCTTTTGAGGATGATATGTAAGATTGTAGTTTTTTTGATGTATAAATCATATTTTTAACTTTCACACCAATATGTAAATAAATTCAATTGAAAATAACGTCAATCAAGGGGGTTTCCATATTTAGTCCTCTATTATCAAATATTACTCCCGTAGTCCTTTTTTAAGGGTTCCTTTCCACAAATGGTCCTTTTTTGATCTTCTGCCGTGTTGGTGTTAATTTAAAAGCTAAAAGTATAATTTGACGTCAACATTATGTCTAGTGACGTGTTCTGATATTGGTTAAGCGGATAACACAAAAATAATGACTATGATTGTGGGCTACGATTCTGACGAAAGATCACATTTGTAGACTATAGTTGTCGTAAAAAGCGACTGTAATTCACAAACGACGCAAACGGAACAGCCTTTGGAATTGTGTATGACAAAATAGATATATTATCATTGTGAAATTACACTTTTAGCCCTTAAATTAACACCAACATGATAGAAGATCAAAAAAAGACTATTTGTGGAAAGGTACCCATAAAAGAAGGACCACTTGGGTAATATTTGATAATAGAGGACTAAATAGGGAAACCTCCCTGTTATAAAGGACCAATTTTAGAATTTACTCGTTTTTTTGATGGAGTAATAAAGTTCACTTTCTGTAAAATAACTTAACAAAAATGGAGTAAACATGCTTACAGAATACTAGTACATATTATCAGAATTTGCAAGTGTCATGTGTGTAATATTGCCTCTGTCCCCAAATTAGAGTTACGGTTTGAATAACATGAAAAATAACTACATCAAAAGTCTATAAAATAAGAGTTGACACAACTGCATTATTTAATGAATTTATCAATGAACTTATCCCCAGACTTGAGTCGTAGGAAGCCCACTCCCCAGGATGCCCCAGTGGAGGAAGAGGTGTTGGCACTTTTTGTGTACTGTGTGTCTGTGTCATTAGATTGAGAATCTTATGAACATATACTACATTGTAATAGAGTCAATAGCACTCAAAAAGTATATATATATAAAGAAAGAAGGTATAGTTCGACCCTTTGGATAGTACAGGGGAAGATTAAAAATGGACAAAAGGAGTGTAAGCTTCTCATTTGGCTTCGTTATTGGATGTTGTGTCAGACATATAATTGTTGTTGGTAATGTATTACAGGTTCGAGTTGCCGAGTACAACAATGTGCGTAGCCAGCTTAATGCCATAAACCGTAAGCAAACAGGAAGGTGCGCAATGAGTCATACTTTCATATATAAAGTCCATAACATTGCATAATAGAATCACCACATTACATTTTCATTGTCCGATAAAGTGGGAACATCTTTCTGGGTTAATATTGTTCATACAAGGCATTCCCGTCTAGGAAGATGCATATAGTTTCCATCTCAAAAGCCACAAATAAATTTGATATTTTTCTTTCCATGTTGTGCTTACTGGTACACAGAGGAAAGTGTTTAGTTTTTGAAACAGAGGTCGTGCTTGGTTGTGGATAATGGATTATGAAAGGAGTTATTAATTATTAATCTTATGATATCACAGTCCTAATTTGTTAAACCAGAAAATACAAGTTTTGATGATATTTTACAATTTATAGAACGTAGTTAGGCATGCCCGAGAAGTTCGGGACCTTCTGAAAACCATGCAGGTTAGAGTGTAGTTTAAGGCTGAGGCCTAATTATTTTCGCACATGAAAAGAAGCCCAGAGCCTCAATCTGAAAACCATGCAGGTTAGAACTACCCAACCCGGAACCAAACATTCAAGCCCGATTGACATCACTAGTAACAACTAACAAGGAATATTGCCTTTGCTCTAAAATCTTTTCTTTTACCTTTTAAGTTTTGTAACTAGAGTGTTAAAAGGAATGAGGAGGGAGGCAATTTTAGATTTCTGTCAGAGATATTTTTTTATTTTTGACAAACACACTTCTAATTTTACCTAGTAAAAATAATCTAAATTTGTTTACCTCTCTTCAGTTTAGCAGTACGTGATCTGTCTAATTTGGTGAAGCCTGAAGATATAATTACATCAGAACACCTAACAACACTCCTTGCTGTTGTTTCCAAGTATTCACAAAAAGATTGGTCGGCTAGCTATGAGACACTGACTACCTATGTGGTATGACTCCCTTTCTGTTCAAGCATTTGTGAATCTGAGCATGTGACCATGTTACGGATATTTTGATGACTATACTCTTCGTATCTCCAAAAAGTTAAAGTTGGTTGACTTGGTTCTCTGTATAGTTTGATCTGAGCATGTGACCATTTTTCTTTTGTTTCTTCTGGAAGTTTGTACGGAGTAATTTTGTACATCATCCTACAAGTTCTACTTTTTCATTGAACTAATTGTTTTAGGTTCCCAGATCCTCTAAGAAGCTGTATGAGGACAATGAATATGCTCTTTATACTGTAACATTATTCAGCCGTGATGCTGACAATTTTAGGAATAAGGCACGTGAGAGAGGCTTCCAAGTGAGTTTCTCACTAATAAATCCTCTTCCTTCTACAAATACATTGTAATTATCATTGTTACTTTCCTACTAGTCAACAATGTTGGAAATGCTGTGTTGCACAGGTAAAGAACTGATCAACAGATTACTAGGACATTGTCTCATGGTGTGCCTAATTCTTTTTGTGGTTTAGATTCGCGATTTTGAGTATAATCCTGAAACACAAGAAAGCCGAATACAAGAACAGGAAAAACTAGTGCAGGACCAAGAAGCGTTCCGAAGCTCTCTTTTGCAATGGTGTTATGCCAGTTACGGGGAGGTATCTATCTGCACGACAACTAGAATCCTCTCTAAATTTTGTGCAATTTAATATTTTAAGGTAGTTGCTATAAGTCATGAACTATACATTCAATAAGCATTGAAAGAGTGTTGGGATTTGTACCAAAGATATCATGTACTTATCTTGCTGCTCTTACGCTCTTTTATTCTGCAAGTGGAGTTGTTCTTGATGTTGCTTGTCATATTTTCGAATTGTCACTTGTCAAATGTTTCATTTGTTTTGCTCCACTTTCTTGATTAAGTATGCCATTCTCTGGTTCTTCTGCAGGTTTTCAGCTCTTGGATGCACTTTTGTGCTGTACGTGTGTTTGCTGAAAGCATTTTAAGATATGGATTGCCTCCATCCTTTCTGGTGATGATTACACACTTTTCTTCCAAAATATATCCGCCTTCCTCATGTGTATGATTTATTTTAAATATTTTATTAAATTGTAATGCTTTCCAGTCTGTTGTCTTATCACCATCCGTGAAAAGCGAGAAGAAGGTGCGCGCCATCCTCGAGTCACTCTGTGACAATTCAAACAGGTAATTGTGTCTTGTTCACCTTTCTGTTGCTACACAAAAGATGTTTCCGACACTCTGACTTGTGATTTTGGAGGAAAGTAGGCTTGTTTCTCAATAGAAGCCTTTTCATTAAAATATGGGGCAGAGAATTTAACTTCGCACTAGATTTGATGACATGGTCAAACGGATTTATACATACAACAACAGACCCAGTAAAATTCCTCCAAGAGTTGGGTTTGTGGAGAGCGTGTTTACGCAAACCTTACTCCTACCTGGGTGTAGAGAGGTTTTCAAGAGATTCCCACTCAAACAAAGAAACTCCGAAACACCGACAAAGCAAACACAGTAGGACAAAAAGATTTATACATTAAAGCTAACAATTTGATAATTATGCAACATTACCTATTCTAAGCCTAAGCTCCTGACATAAATAGGCTGGTCTAACATGATATTATGAAGTGTTTTGCTCAACACGGTTGATGATAAATCCTCTCCCCGCCCCCTCCTCCCCCCCCCCCCCCCAAAGCTAGGGATGAGAGGAGGGTGGTCGCCACTCCCCTGTTAAAAATCGCTTTTATGGTAAATGCAGCACCTACTGGAAAGCTGACGATGATGGTGCAGTGGGTGCTCTTGGAGGCGATACTGATGTGCATCCATACGTCTCCTTTACAATAAATCTTGTTTGAGTTGTGGCATTTTGTTATCCATTTCACTCGGTTATATTTAATTAATGTATTTGCCAATAATGGACAGATTGTGTCTGTATATGCTACATGTAATAATATTTCCATTTTTTTTTGGGGGGGGGGGGGGATTTTAAACTATACCAAGCTGTAATTGTTCTGCACATTTGTTGTCATATTGGGAGTCATTTACAATATATTACATGTGGCTTCCTAGACTTTTGTGAACTTTATATTCTCAGTCCTTTAGCCAAATATTTGAAATCCACGAGTTTGTTTACGAGATCCAAACATGCCCTAACTTTTGGCCAATGGACCATCCATGAATAAGTACTTCACCCAACACATTGCTTTGTGTTTTTTTTTTGTAGTATTGATAAAGGTAAAATAATTCACCCAACCGAAGTCATCAGCGCCCTCTGAAAAAGTTTCATTTCCATGTGCTTCAATTTTGAAAGCTCAATTTAAAGAAGGAAGAAGAGTATAAATCCTCAAAGTTGTTCCACATGAGATGCCTCCCTCTGTTTTCTGGTCCCTCAATTCTTACATGTTCATCTGCCCTATTGACTAAGGCTCCCTCCGGTTAAACTTGTTATGAATTGAAAATGTACTTTAATTTTCACTGCAATTCATGACTAAATTATTCTCTCCGTCTTAATTTTAATCGTTTGTTTTGGTTTATATGATATTTGACTAAATTCATTTTCAATACAATCTATGGATCATGATAATGGGAAATCATGAATTCTAATCATAGCGCCTCCCCCACTCGCCACAAGTTTTGATCTTCACTTCTTATTTGAGTCAACCTGATCCATTTTTCGGGGGCTTCACCTTTTTTTCAAACTTATTTAAAAAAACAAGTAAAAAAAATTAGTAAAACTGCTTTGGTTTTTTTTAATTAGATTTTCTTGGATCATTTATTTGAATTTTAGATTCTATGCTCTAAATTACGGTCTCTACAATATAGACTTCAATTAATGTAGTATCTGAACTCCAATTCCCACCACAATAACGAATATGTGTGTTGTGATTTTTGAATAGTGAACTATGACATTCTTTTTTTGGGATGAAGAGAGTAATTTTTAGTTTATAAGTTACTTATTGAATAACTCTGTATTTTTTGTAATTTGACTAAAATAAAAGATGATTCATTTGAAAAATTTCATAAAAGGTTAAAGATAATTTTATAAATAGTTTGGTTAAAGCGGAAAAATAAAAAGAGAGCCTAAAAATGAATGCGTAAGAGCTACTGATTTTTTAACTTAGGAAGGCAAAAAAAATTGTCATTAACTAATGACAATTAGTAAAACTGAAAAATACCCACAAAATACGGGCGATTTTGAACGGACCTTGGTCAGGCATTCATGACTGTGGTGGGCTTAAATACAGAGTGAATTTATGGCCCATTTTATCGGGCCGATTCATCTACAACATCCACGTGTCCACCTCCATATATAGGGATTAGCATACAAGGCCAAGTGATCCAACTATATCCGTTAGTCCATTGGAGCCCAGTAACCATAAGGATAAATCCGTCAATTTGTAAAGCGTCTTTAACAGATCACCGTCGCCGGTGGCCGGAAGCAAACAGAGAGACAGAAATGGAGGAAGCAGGCCGCAGCGATCATCTGAAGCCGGAAACGATCACGGTGAATGTGAAATTCCGCGGAAGCTCGATCCCGGTGGATATCTCCGCCGACGCGACGGTCAAAGAACTCAAATATCTCCTTCAGCCGCTCACCAATGTCCTCCCGCGCGGCCAAAAACTCATCTCTAAAGGTTTTTTTTAAATCTCTTCCGAGGAAAATAATTCATTCGACTATTCCATTCATTTCCGTGAACTCTTGTGCGTTTCCGAGCAGGGAAACTTCTAGTAGATGAAATGACACTTAGGTCCTCCGAGGTTTTCCATGACTCCAAGATCATGCTCATGGCCTCCCAAGGTCTACACCAAGGGGTATCTTACTCTGGCAGTTTCTTTCTCTCTTTGTTCTTAAATTTAATCATGGCACCAGAATTTTGTCAAAATTGATCAAAATATATTGAAGCAAAGTCAAGAATTGGAATAATGAATTAGCATAAGAGATTAAGCTGTGATTCTGGGGTGTGTTGAATGTATCCATCCCAGGACGGGCCGATTACAAAAGGAACTGTGGCATCATCAACTGCAAGAAGACAGCCTGAACCTTTGAAGTCTGAGCTTCGTGTTGAAAAGAGTCAGATTGAACGATGGAAGGCTACTGGGGTATTGGCATTATCTGAGTGCAATCTGAGGGTATGATGGCTGTTTGGACCTTCTGCCATTACCACACTTTGCTGTTTAATTTTCAGCTTTGTAACATCTTCTTGATTCGTATTTGGAAGGCTATACCTGATGAAGTATGGGTCTGTGGACCTTCTGCTAGAGTTCTTGATCTGAATAATAACTCTGTAAAAGAAATTCCTGCCAGAATTAGTCATTTCAGTTCTCTTCAGGTAAATAAGAGAAACATTGTCCAAAGTGTTTAGGTATTCGATTTCTTGGTCAAGAATTCGTGACAATATATACTACGTATACCGAAACTGGATTGGTTTGATATATGGTTATAAATTATTTCGCAGAAACTGCTGCTTAATGGAAATGGCATTGAAGACAGTTTTTTAAGCTGGGAAGGGATAGAGTCTTTGAAGTCTTTGTTAGTTCTATCTTTGAATGAGAACCAGTAAGATACTTCTATTCTAGAGGGGTAAGTTTTCCTATTTCGATTGAAGTGAAAGTCATGATGTCCACTTCTGAAATGCAGATTAACAATTCTACCTTCCAACATCGGTGCATTGAAAAGCCTGAAGCAACTTCATATTGCAAACAATAAGTTGACTTTTCTCCCAACTGAGATTGGCTTGTTAACTGCACTTGAGGTTTTGAAGGCCAACAATAACAGGTAACATTCACTGTGGAATGTGGATATATATTTTTTTCTTTCAACGTGCTCAACTTCTTTTTCTGCTGTCTATATCATTCCTCCATCCCTAAATGGTGTTCTCGTTTTCTTTTTTACGCAGCTTAACAAAAAATAAAATTGTATGGTGTAAGTTTATGTAGAGGAGAGAAATGAAATTGTATGGTGTAAGAAAAAATAAAATTGTGTGGTGAAATTATATTATGGATGCAAGGAGTAATTTACTTAGTTTGTATGGACTTCATGGACTTCACTTTTCAACAAGTTTAACATGACTAGTTCTTCACATCACTAAAATTTCTTGTTTGTTGCAGCTTAAATGCCATTCCGACTAGCATATGTGGATGTGCTTCTCTTGTTGAGGTATGACTTTGTACTACTCTCATTTGGATGTTATTATAATTTGAACTTCACATATCGTTTGATGATCCATCGTCCCCTGCTTCACCGTTGTTAAAATACCTGCTTTGGTGCAGGTTGATCTTTCATCTAATCTTCTGTCTGAACTGCCTGATACCCTTGGCAGGCTAAAGGATATGAAGGTCAATATACCCGAGTTTCTTTCATCTTGTTGCTTGTTTTGTCTCTCTTTAATTTAAACATAACCTCTTTGATGGATGGAAACTATTTATACACATGGAGAGAGGCATATTCCAAATGTGATTATTGTCTTCAAACCCCATTTGTTTAACCATTCCAAGGAGGGCTTAGAGGGTGTCTGTGAGTGTGGTTAGTTCTTTAAAAAGAAAATGTCCTAAGTCAGAAGCAAAAAGTAGTTACTCCTGATTTTGCTAAAAAGTACTTCTAGAGCTCACTTTGCACTTCTAAAGCCTCAATCTATGAGCTGAAGCAGATAGGCAGACGTTTTGTAGAAGCTCAAAAGTTGTTCTCAAACACACTCCCAAACACACTCTAAGAGAGTATTTGGTTTGATATTTGTGTGTTGCTGTGCAGGCATTGCACCTCAGGAACAATGGGCTTACGTCTCTGCCTAGTACTATATTCACACTCTGTACTCAACTCTCGACGCTGGATCTTCATGGCACTGAAATAACAATCGATTATCTCCGTCAGGCATGCACATCATATTTATTTCACAAACACTCGACGACATTTTATTTTACAATCTTTGGGAATTCTGTTCTGTGTGGAGTCGTGGAAAATATATATACATATATTATATGTATGTGTTCATCTTGACAGTTAGAAGGATGGAATGATTTTGATGAGAGACGGCAGCTGAAGCATCAAAAGCAACTGGATTTCAGAGTGAGCAGCTCGGGCGAATTTGATGAAGGTGCTGATAAAAACTAAAGGAAAGAAGAAAAAAATGCCAGAAATTCTTTGATGTTTTCCCCATTTCTGTTATGAAGGATTTGCAGATGATATAACTACCAAATGGAAATCAAAACATGTGATTGCTGCTTTTCCTTCAACAATGTTTAGATAATCGTTTTAAGGCTAAAATGCATTACCAAAAGAAGAAGTGATCCAAACGGATTGCTTAGAGGATTGAGTAAAATTGAAATCATACAAGTAGATCACATAGTCTTTTGTTTTAGTCTTCTACAATAAAATAAATTGAATTCACAATATTTTTTACATTTCATTACCATTTACCATTTCGAGCATTTTCTTTTAGGGCAATCGCGGATTTGCAAAAAATGGATTGGGAAACATTGTTAGTATGCCTTTTGTTTGTGTATTCTTCAATTGTTACTATACAATTAAAATCCGTAAAATCTTGCCTTTTACCCTCAAAAGTGAAATGTACTTTGCATAAATTTCATAATCCACACTAAAAAATTATATTTGGTCCAATTTCGAATAAGGAGGACCAAAATTATCGTCCTATTTCAGATAATGAAGATTCACTGAGTTTGTTTTGAATTTATTTATTTACATAATGGCACACAATTCAAAATAAAAATTTTACATTAAGTTTTTTTTAATTCATATTAGAACATTTCAAAAGGTGGTAGGTAGGCGGGCAACAAGCTGCACCGTCACCCTTTTCTGGATAGCAAATATTATTCTACTGAAAACATATTCGTGACCATTCGGAACCGATACATTGTTGCGAACAACCTTACGAACTCGATCCAACATATTTTTACATTAAAAGACTACATTAGATAGATGGGCACTCTAAGTCACATGATATTGTTATTGTAATAAGTGATTAATGAAAATAAGTAAAGAAAGGAGAAAAAATTTAATCACTTAACGTAGAACAGGACAATAATTTTAGGAGTGGGCACGGACGCGTTCCACGTTTGAAGAATGGCGGGCCACTGTTACCGCGGGAGCTCAACCAACAGCTCAACCGTTCATTCATGGAAAGTGCCTCCATTGGGTTATATGAAGGTCAATATTGATGCTTCAGTTGGTCTTATGGAGGGCTTTGTGGGTCTTGGCTTTATTGCTCGTGATCATGAGGGACATTTCATCAACTGGCAAAGAATTTTTGGTGTAGGAGACGTTTTGGTGTAAGTGAGGCAGAGGCTATTGCACTGAAAGAGGCACTGAGTTTTGGGTCATATCCAAAGGGTTGGTCACGAGTTATCATAGAAAGCAATTGCAAAGAAGTTGGTCTTACTTTAATTCCATCATTGACGATTGTAAGCGTCTGCAGATATTTTGTGGCGGAGATCTTGATTTTAGATTTATTTATCATTCTGCTAATGGGGCGTCACATTTGTTAATGCGTGTTACTCATTCTATAGCGGGTGTGGGGAGTGGATGAACTCACCCCCTAACTTTATTACTACTTCTCTCTAATGATATCTTAGTTTTTCAAAAAAAAAACTCATTTTATCAAAATATTGACGTAAAAAATGTAAAAAAAAATTATATATTGAAAAAACAAATCAAAAGTTTTGTAAAGTAAGATATGACATTACAATGTTAGTTTAGCAAATTTAACCATGAAAAAATGTTAGGAGAGAAGTATAATTAAACCATGTAAATGGTAAATGTGACGAAATTAATAAGCTGGAGAGTAGAGCTTTAAAAAAATTATTATTTTTTAATTTTAAAAACGTAAATTTATTTTATTAGTTATGCACTAATATATAAAATAAATTGAATTAGAAATATTTTGAGTATGATTTTTATGCATGTTAACACATTTAACCGAATTACAAATATTGACCAAATGAAAACCCTTAGCGTCTCCTCTCTCGACCGGCCTTACCTTTCCAGTTCTTCATAAACCCAGATCCCGTCTTCCAAACAGCAGTAGATTTGAGGTCAGGTTCCATATTCATGTTTTTCTTTCAAATTCATTTATATTTTGACTTACCGCTTTAGATTTTCATCTCAGATCCTATGCTGATATTGAATAATCTGTTCAATGTAAACCCAGCAAATATATAAAGTGTTATTCGCTTTAATTAATTTACTAATTTTAAATTCGTATAATCTAGTAATCTTTGAAATCTTGGTTTCTATTTGTTGAGGCGAAATTAGTTTGTTCTGCCTGAAATTTTTAGGGTTGAATTTGCTTGCTTCTAAGAAAGAATCTAATTTGATGTCATGAAGTTGTGAAAATTTCGCAATCAGCTGAAGCTAAATTTGAACATAATCTAATACTCCGTAATTAATTTTGGTACTTGTCTAAAGGTTTAGCCCATATGGAGTATTAAGAATTGGTTCAACACTTCATATTCTTAGGTATGATGGGGTGACAGTTTTTATGAATGCTTGAGAGAAGCGTAGTGTAAGAGCAGTTGAAACAGTAAATGTTGCAAATTATTTTCTGGTTGACTATTGTTTTAGCCGTCCTGTTGCTTCCCTATGCAACCCTGCAATTTGGTGAAATATGGGCAATTATCATATATCACTCAGATGTTATTATGCAACTTCTATTTTTACTTTCCAACATAATTTCACTATGTACTTCTCTAGATTATTTTTAATCAACACAACATTCTTTGGCCATGTTTGTTAAATGGCGGTGTGAGGAATCCATTGAAAACCATATCATGCATGATCCCTCAAAAAGACTATAAGTACCCTCTTCTTTAAAATTTAAATAAATTTTGAGTGGCATTATGAATGGGTTTGCTTTTGCGTTGTAACTATTCGGTTTTTTTTGGGGCAGTGATGGCATGTGAAAATTTCTAGTACTAGGATTCTATAAAAGATGATGTCAACCATTGAGAATGGTTTTTGGTTAAGTAGTACGGAGTAATAAACAATATAAGGTCAGTTTAATCTCTTTCTCCTGTGTGGGGATTGTTATTGGTGGTTGTTTCACAATAATCTCAAAGAAAAATGAAATCCAAATGTCTACTCCGTATTTTTAAGTTATAATTAATCACCGGGGTAGTCAAATATTCTAATTTGAAGAAGGTATTAGCACATGGGAAACAAGATGTGCATGCATGTTATGTGCCTCACCAGCCTTGCTGGCACTCCGTGCTCCTACTCCTAGTCAACATCTAAGCCACTTGCACCATGGTGATATATTTTGCATATGAAATTTTGCTTGTGATCTTTCAGTAGGAAGATTGGCTAATTCATTCCAAGAGGGTTGCAGAATTGACAGCTTGTTAAACATTGCCTATTTTTCTGAAAATAGAAGACTTTAATAGTTCTTGATTCCTTCCCATCTCAATCTAAGTTAACTAAAACTCAGGTGATGGGGTTCACAGATGGTTTCTTGTATCCCTTTGTGGAGTGACGATCATCGGGCTGTTAGATAGTTCCAATGCTAGGGTTGTATGAGTGAGAGGGACACATATAGTTATATAGAATGATCGTTCACTCTATCAATTGAATGGTTATTAGGGGTGCACAGTTGACCTTTTGTTGGAACTTGAAAGGCGTATTTGTATGTTTCTAACTTTAACTTGTTCTTGTCAAGTGCAAGGAACTTCAAGTCCCATATCTATGGCTCTGCTATTCTACCACTAACGATGAAATAAATGCTTTTAAAACCTTATTTAAAGATGACGTATCTTTGATATTCTCCTTTTTCTTGTGTATTATTAAGTGCGAAAAATGTTCAAATTATCTTCCATCATGTGGGAGTTCTCATTATGTTCCTAATGTCTACGTGATATGGGCTTAGATAGAAACATGTGGGATTTTATTGGGTTTGTCGTCATTGTTGTCCTAATTTCTATGTGCTTTTATCTCATCAGATCATGCGATCAATATGGAAAGGTTCATTTGTAGATGCGTTTTTGCTGAGACTTAAAGAGAACAAAGAACAACTCACAAACAAAAAGATCTGGTCACGCAGATCTACTATCCTTCCTGAATTTGTTGGCAGTGTCGTTCGAATTTATAATGGGAAAAATTTTGTTCGTTGCAAGATCACCGAAGGAAAGGTTGGTCACAAATTTGGAGAGTTTGCTATGACAAGGAAAAGACGGCCTCACAAAATGGATACGAATACAAAGAAGAAGGGCCGCTGAGTCATCACGAGGCTCCATCCATTATCTGATGCCACCAAATTGCCATGTGCTTCAGGAAAACGACATATTGAATTACTCCCTCCATTCTTAAATAAGTGTTTGTTATGACTTCCAAAATACATTATGAATCAAATGAATGAGGACATAATGGTTGCTCACATGTCACATTCATTCAACTTCTAATGTATGCAGAAAAGTTATGATAGACCGTTATTTAAGACCGTAATAGACTGTTTAGTACTTCATCCTCAAGGTGAGGAAGCCAAACGTTGTTTTGCATTGGAAGATTATTGTTTTTGTTCCTCTTTTGAGGAGCGTGGGAACACATGGTTTTGTGTGTTTTTTTGTTGTTGCATACTTTTAAATCGTGCCCAAGTGCAGGGTTCTGGGCTCAAGTGTTTTTACCTAGTTGTTTTCAGTTTGCTCCAATGTCTAGTTTTTACTGCCAGTTTATGGCAATCGCTATAACTGCACTTATGCCCCCATTACATAATGGGTCTTTTGGGAATAACATTAGAGATTAGCGTAACATTTTGAAAAGGTTATCTACCGGTACTGTTTAACGTTAGTGTTTCCAAGCTAATTTGCACGGTTAGAATTTTAATCAAAACGCTAACGTTAATCCCAAATGAGCCCGATGTGTTGATTTGGAATGGTTTTGTCAATTGAATGGCGAGTCTGGTTACATGTGTTGGTAGGGTTTTGTGATGTTTGAAAATCAAAATGAAAGCAACACAATTATATAATATGTCGACATAATTTTTTTTTTGGAATTATGTTGGCATAATATTTAACACGGAGTACATTGTAATTATTTAACCGCAAGGGGCCTTAAACGGATCCAAACTCTTTACACTATACCTAGCCCTTAGGGTGTGGAGATGAATTCGGGTAAATGGAGTTTAATATAGATTCAACCCAACTACAAATTTGTGGATTTTAGTTGAATTTGAAATACTTTTTAAAGTCCGTTTGGTACACGGAATTGATGGAATTGGAATTGAATTGGAATTAAAATTCCATAGGATTGAATTTCATAGAATTGAATTTACCATTTCCAAATCATTTTTTGCACTATCAATTCTAAATTCACATAATTTTTGTGCTACCAAACTCCAGAATTGGAATTGAAGTCCTCAATTCCAATTCCATAGTTTGAATTCCGTGTATCAAACGAGGCCGAGTCAAATCCCGACCAATTGCAGGCCTACTTCCGTCCCATAAAACATTTTACAGTTTGACTTTCACAAAATTTTAAAAAAATTTAAAAAATACTACCTCCGTCCCATTTTGTAACGCCTGTTTCGGTTTACGATGTTTGACTGAAATTATTTTCAAACCATTTTATATGACAAATGATATAGAATTAAAAAATAAAAATTACATATTAAAAACTACATCAAAAGATCTACAAAACTAGTAGTGATAATAATATTTTATTTTATCAAATTGCTAACGAAAATAGAGAAAGAAAGTGAATGAAGTTTGACCCTGTGAATAGTAAACAGGCATTATAATTTGGGACGGAGAGAGTATATTATTAGAATGTCCGGAGTATATAAATAAGAAAATTACTATGTGCTACATATCGAATACTAAAATAATACTATTTCGTAAATAAGTAGTTCTATTTTTTTTTGAAACATATAAGAAAGAAAAGTGTAAAACGATTTATAGAACAAAGGGAATATTAAATTATTGAAGAGAAAACCCCTATAAATTGATGTTTTAAAGGTTGCTACCCCCAAAAGATGACGCCTTTATCATTGTTATTTCATTCTATTACTTCATATTTAAATCATGATTTTTTTTTAAAAAAAAAATCCAGAATCGGTACGTGGAATTGCAAAGCCAAAAGAACCAGACTTTTCCAGGTTAAATTTTGATTCAACCTCGACTTTTCCAACCAGTCTGACTCCCTAGCAAATTTCCGGTTCCAAACAGACCCTAAAAAGAACAAAATATTGTGTTGTTGGAAAACATTGGTATGGAGCACCAGAGTAAATGAACAAAAACATTGTAACTGGGAAACTCTTAGTATCATGTGCTATATAGAGCCACAGCAGTGGAACTCTTTCTGAACAGATCATAAGAACAGAGAGTCAACAACACACATCAGTGGGTGTGTATCAGATATTCAATCCCCCCTTGAGAAAAGAAAAGTTGATAAAAATGCCAGCATTTAAAAAAAGTTTGGACTAAAGAAAAAAAAAAGGGTAACCAAGAGAGACAATGACAAGTGAGGAATATAAAGAAGTCACTCACTCACTCACTCACTCTACTTGTAGTAAACAGAAACCAGAGGGATATCGACGTCATTATCCTCATCGTCCTCGCATGCCACCACGACATCCAAGTGGCGGCGGTTTGGGGGCAGCTCCAGCTTGGCGACTTTCCTCGCCAAATCCACAATCTTCTTGTCCATCCGTTCCTTGTGCCTAGGGAACATGCTGTTATAGAGCAAGCAGCTCCCGCAAGAGATGCTGTACGCATTCAAGTACTTGTCTTTTAGCCATCTGATGAGCTCCTTCAGTGTAGGGTTGTTCTTTATTTCCCACCGGTCCCAAACGGTCCAGCTCATATCCAAGTGCTTGATCACCTTGGGTGGGACTGGTTCGGCCATGGAGAAGAGGGGCAGCGCCAGGTTGGCAAATGTGTTGCGGTAGTCCTCAACCTTGTGTCCCCCTGCTAGAACCTTGTACAGTTCCAGGCAAACCAAGCCGGTCGCCATTGCTGTGGAGGTTGCAATTGCAGGAATGATCCTTCCTGCTATGAACTTGGCCTTCAGTTTGTCCACTTCAGGTATGCTGTAGTTTCTAGCCCTCATGTTGGCAAGCCCGGCTATGAGGTCCATGTGGAAGTTCGTGTCATCATCCTGCTTGAAACAAAATAAAAATACATAGATCGGTAAAAATATGCTCCACGATTAACATTATGACTTTATTTCATTAATAAAAACCGAGACCTTCTCGAACTGAATAGGTTTCATCTTGAAGTTTGGAGGTAGATTTTTACGGCACTGCTCCAGCTTTGTTATGAGTTCATGGATAACTGCAATGTCATCTATGGAAGCAGCAGAAAGACTGGTGGCTTTCTCATCTGTCTCAATCTTCACGCCTTTCTTGGGTTGAAACTCTGGGACAACAACACTATCAACAGCTTCGGCCAGTTTCTTTGGTTGAGTGGCCCAGTCAGGAATAGGGATTCCAAATGTCTCGGCCCGCAATATGGCTGCAGCCATCGTAAAATGGAGATGACTCTGATCTTTCGAAGAGAACTTAAGGGGTTGAGGGAAACGCTTAGGTGCCGACCAGAAAGGTGCTCCAGTACTCGTTGCTGCATCCTCGGGAAAAGTGAAAATCAATTGTTTGACCCGGTTTGCAAAATAATCTTCAAACCTTGAAAAGAGAAGGGAAACCATGTTAAGAAACTGCATAAAGTGATCTTTTCGTTGCCTTACACGTAAATAAAGTTACTCCCCCCCCCCCAAAATCCCAAAGTAAATTTCACACTTTTTTTGGGCATCCCAAGATGGACTCTTTTGGTTTTGAGGAAAGAATTGTGTGTATCATATTACTCCATATTTATCTCCTCTGCATAAATCTCAGCCACACAAATTCACTACCTTAAACTCCATGCAAAAAACAAACGCTAAGTGCAATTTGGGACTGATGAAGTAAGACATGATTAATCTTTTTTTTCAGAATCAGCATATATTTAGATTTTTGTCTATATAATATAAAGGAATAGTTTAAATTGACTTTGAACAAACACTTTTTTTCTCCAACCAATCTTGTCATTATTTGCTTTCCCAGCTATTCTTAGGGTTCCAAACAGACTCTTAGTAGGGAATGAAAAAAAAAGTACCAGATTACTTTATAAAGATGCTAAGAAAAAAGGGCAAAGTGTTAGTTGGCCTACCTGTGGCGTGCCCATGCAATGCAAGCTTCAAAGNTTTTTTTTCAGAATCAGCATATATTTAGATTTTTGTCTATATAATATAAAGGAATAGTTTAAATTGACTTTGAACAAACACTTTTTTTCTCCAACCAATCTTGTCATTATTTGCTTTCCCAGCTATTCTTAGGGTTCCAAACAGACTCTTAGTAGGGAATGAAAAAAAAAGTACCAGATTACTTTATAAAGATGCTAAGAAAAAAGGGCAAAGTGTTAGTTGGCCTACCTGTGGCGTGCCCATGCAATGCAAGCTTCAAAGGTTTCACATCTTTCCTTGTCTAGGCACTCAAGAACACGTTCCAAGTTATCTCTAGCTTGTGCATCACCAGATTTGCTCTGTGCAGACGTGTACTCGCTTGGATTACTGAGATAAGCATTTGCTTCAGCCGGTGTCTTCTCAAGCAAGCCCTCAAACTCTGAACGAGCCCAAGTCAAGCAGTGGTCAATGTTGTGTGGGAAAGAGTGTACAGTGCACATTGGTGCTTGTTTCTCTGGAGGATCGCGTGATGCACCATAGTTTTCTGTCAGGTGTGGTATGACCATCTGGGTATTGCATTTGGCACCAAGTGTTCCTGACTCGAGAAGTGGCTTCTGGAAATACAAGCATCTCTGATCAACATAAAGCCTTGCATTAACGTTGTCAAGAGCATTGACAACAACACTGAGCTTCTCCCAGAAAGCATCGTCAAACACATTTTCAGTCTCAGGACCAACACGGTTCTGGAGAGGTTCAATATGGAACTTGGAATTTATTGATGTAGCAGCAGCAGCGGCAACAGTGGATTTGGCCTGGCCAATGTTCCAATCACGGAAGAGAAACTGTCTGCTAAGATTACTCTTCTCAATCACATCATCATCAGTTACTGTTAACTTTCCTTGACTGCCGCATGCAATTCCCATGAGGGCCAAGTTCTTCAGAAACTCACATCCCAGTGCACCAGACCCAACAACAAATACCTTGGCTTCTTCAAGTTTCTTCTGAAGTTTTTTTCCAAAAACTGAAACTTGTGCGTCATAACGACTATTCAAAGGCATGAAATCACTAGGTTCCAGTGTCTCGGTAGGAAGTGACTCCACAGAGTCGAAGTAAAAGAACTGCACTTCCAAATTAGTGAGAAAAAAAAACAATCAGCTTAAACTAACCACAAAGGGGCCAAGTTGTCAAGAAGTTGCCTGAGCACTTAAGCACACTTGGTGAGGTGCAACATCTGTTCATGTGATGTCTTTCAGGAGCAACCAAGGTGCACAAAGCACTAAAGGCACACCTTGGCCAGATTTTAATTTTTAGTACTGTGGGTAATTTTTAATCTTGGAGAATATTTAGCAGTGGGCCTGTTTTAAAAGTCCAGATTTATATTAAAACTTTACAAACAAGCCAACCCAAATTTCTTCTTAATTTGTTCTTTTTTTTCATTTCTTCCATGTCTAAATCATGCGCCTTTCAGAGTCAGGCGAGTGTATTTTTCTGCCTTGCACCTCAGGCAATATAGGACTTCCGAGCCTTGAGTGTGCCTTACCACTTTGACTTGCTAGGGGCAATAAAACAAATTGCTCATTAAAAAAATGTACAAAAAAAAACCTTAGTAGTCAAGGGTATGTAGGCATAGTGGAAAAGGCTAGGAAAGATTAAAACAAACCAAAAAATTAATATATTTCCTAATATGAGGCTTTTACTTGGGGGTTTTTTAGGAAAATGAAATGTATTAGCAAAAAAACTAAATATACAACATTTAGATGTTTTAGTTTTTATACAAGGGAAAAATTAACGAGTTTGAACAGCTTTCTATATAAAACTAGTGAATTGTAGCCTGTCTTCTATTCCCCCACCCCAAAGGATGTATTTCATTCTAGTTTTTCTCCCTATTTTCTTGTGTAATTATTTTCCAGGCTCCAAAAGGATCGTAAGAGTACAGGACAAGGAAACAGAACCTGAAAAAGAGGATGAAACTTCCCAGAGCATGCCTTAACAACCTCCTGCCCAACAATACCACCAAACATAGCAGCCATGGGATTTAATACAGCACGCGCACCAAATGAGAAGTGTCTGAGAAGTTTGTGGTCTATATCTTCTATTTTTGAATCTCCAGCACTCTCATTCATGACAGTGGCAATAGAGATAAGTTTCTGTGCATCATCTTCAGAGCCAGCATTGGGGAAACGTCCAAACTCAGACCTGAACTTGTCCAGTGATTGGAATGCTAAATGCAGAAGTGGAGGGCGGTCAAACTTTGAGAAATCACTGAGAAGAAAATCACCAGGATCTTCAAGAGCTTCTCGCAATGGTTTGAAATTCAAAACTTTTGGCTGCTTTACCTGAGTAACTATACCACCCCTTTCATATGCACCAAAATTTGTTGTATCCTCGTCAAGAGTGAAAGCGTAAGGCCTAGTGGCTAAAATCTTTCTTGGCTTTCCATCATTCAGTTCGGTCATGCCCCGAATTTCAGAAAACACAACTAAATCACCATCCTGAAACTCAAGCCTCTCATCATCCACACATGTTACAAGAGCAGAGTTGTCATTACTGATGGAGGCAATGATGCCCGTATGAGGTTCCTCACCATCAACATCAACTACCGTGAACTGAGGACCAAAATCACAGAACACGCTACCAAAAAGGCCTCTAACATCAGCCTTGATGAATGCTATGGGTGGTTGATGAGTATGACAATAGTCATCAAACTCAACAGCCTTTTCTAAGCTGATATCAGTGAA